TGGTTATATAACTGTTACAGGACAAAAGTCAATGGGTTTATGCTAATAAATGATGACAATGTCATGATAACGCTCCCTTAGAGCTAGGTTTAAGAGAATACATGGTGCTGGGCATGGTTGTGCATGTCTCTAATACCAGCACTCAGGAGGCTGAGGCAGGAGTATCCTTACGACTTCGAGACCAGCCTGGGCTACAAGGTGAGCTCAAGACTAGCCTGAACTGCATAGTGACACCGTCTCAGAAAAACAAAAAATAAAAGGAAAAAAAAAAAGAGAGACTATGTGGTATAAATTTTACCTTGTTTAAATCTGAGGTGCTGTCCAGAGATTAAAATTTAGTATAACCCTTTCTATGAAAATAATGTAATGAACAATTAGAAATAAGAGAAAAATGTCACATTCTGACATAATTTTTCCTAGAATACTTCAGTGTCTGAATTATTGGAAAATCTGAATCTTTACATGTTTTACAATCAGCAAAAAATGAAGAATTGCTTCATGAATTAGACATTTATCATTACACTCAGCATAAGAAACTAATAAAAATACTTTTTTTCAGAAACAGGAAAAATTCATATATTCCTATTTGCAGGCCATGCTGCTTTACTTTTTATATTTCCTGAGAAAAATGTTGGCTGTTTAAAATTTGGAAATTGTTTTGATATTTCTATGTAACTGAGGGAGAAATCATACAGTATGAAACGCTTCTCATGTACTTGTTACACATCTGTGCTCATTCAGTTTCTATGAAAATACTCAGTGGTAACTGACACCACTTTTAATCTTCTCTGTGGATATAGATCAATAATTTTTTTTTTTTCTTTTTGAGACACGGTCTCACTGTGCAGTTCAGGCTAGACTTGAGCTCACTTTGTAGCCCAGGCTGGCCTCGAACTCACAACAATCCTGCCTCAGCCTCCCAAGTGCTGGAGTTAGAGGCGTGTGCCACCACACCTGGCTTGATTAGTTATTGTTAAACTCAGCGCTGAGTTTTAAACTTCATTGCATGTAGTGTATTCTACATGTACTACACTTACTTGTGGTGTATTTCCCCAAAGAGTATTTTTTATGTATTTTGACATTTTCCCCAAAACACAGCATCTTAATACTTCAGGTATTCAATATTGACAGTGATTATCCTTCTTCCTAAGCTTCTAGGGAAGCTCCTGAATCCTCACCCTCCTCTTCTCCTATTCCTTTCCTTCTTCTATAAATAAATCATTCTGCTCTGTTATAGGACAGAGCATCCCAGCCCCTCAGCAGTGCACTGTAGAAGGCTCACAGGTGTGTCACAAAATGTCTTTGTGATGAGTCGGAGAGAACAGGTGTTTCAGAGTCCCTTTCTCGAAGCCCCCTGTGAAGTACACTTGTCCCTGGCTTCTCTAACCAAGTTCTGCTTTCCACCCGCTTGTGGACCCACTGTGTCATGAAACAGGGGAGGCTCAGCATCACAGGACAGAATGGATCACAGATGCACCACTAACTCAAAAGCGGCTTTGTCTCCTGTAAAGTCAATGAAGATAAGCTCAAATGTCTTTAGCAAAGTTCAAAGCCAGTAGCACGCTGGTGCTATGGAGAGGTAGAACAATAAGCAATTTCGTTTAGCTGGAGAATCACTAAAAGAGTGAATATGAGGTAAAAGAAACAAGCAAGAAGAAAAAAAGCTAAGTTTTAGTCGGAGAGAACATTATGCTCAAACATTTCCACCGACTTTCATGCCCTCGTCTCCTTTTTTTCTTTAATCCACTAAAACTGGTTTCTATCACTTACTAATAAACTGAAAATGCTGTCTTAGAACGTCATCCATAGCTTTTTACGACTAATGAACAATTTTTGAACTGTATTTTGCTGGCTGTCTGGATTATTTGACACAGTAATCACTTTTTCTTCTGAGCAGTCTCTTCTCATGGGAAGTCCCTAAGCTCACTGTCTCACGACTGCCTATTCTGACTCCTAATACCCTTCCTAAGCTCCTTGTCTTCCCCTGTCTTTTTTCTCTCGTGTAAGTCCCTGGGTCTCTTCTTCTACACCCTCTCCCTGAGTTTCCTGTACCTTCTGCAGTGGGCACCACCACATTTAGACTGACTGCCCCTCTCTGTACAATATGTGATCAAGATCTATCAGCTGAGACTTGGATCCATATATTCTACTGCCAAATGGACATCGCTGTTATGTGTTCCTTAACGTAACCAACAAGTCACAGATGGAATTACTTCCTTCCCCAAATGTTTTCATAGTATAACGCTTCTACTGCATTGTGTATTATTCATCAGACCATTCTCCAAGCTATTAACCCAGCAGTCATCTTTCTCTTCATCTATAAATCCTAGTCCTTCCGCTTGACCTGTCATGCAGCCTTAACCAATGCCATCTCTGAAATCAAACTACTTCTCTATGCCACTTCTTTGTCTACAAATAAAAAATATTATTTATGAAGTTTTAACATATAACGGTAAGAACTCTGTCTATGTATTAGTCAGCCATTTATCAACAACACATAGAATTTTTTGGACTTTATGCAATCAAAAGGGGTGAATAAGGATATTTTGAATTAATGCGTTGTGTTCAGCCTTTATGAACAGCTTGCATATGATGCCTTCATAGATAAAAACAAGTATTAATCCTAGGATATTTGTCATTCCTTGTAATGGTCAAAGGACTGGCTATAAATATTATATGTGCAATACAGAACATTGGTATATAGCTAAACACATTACATGAAAGTCTGGGTAAGCTTTAAAAGACACAGTATTCCAAATGTCCTAATTTTTTCGGTAATAGTAATTGGTAAGATAATATATGGCAGATCTTTTAATAAATGCATGTACTTTTGTGACGTATATTTAGATGTAATTAATTTATCCTTGAAAATTGAGAAGACATTTTAACTATTGGAAAATAAATGATTTTTGGAAAAAAATTACTGTTACAAAATAAATCATTCTGGAAATGGAGGCTTCAGAGTATTTCGTTCACTAGGTGTTGTTTTACTGAGAAATCATATGAAACATATCCACATGCGTACTTTAAAAAATAAAACAACATTGAAATGAGCAGTTCTCACAAATTTTAAAACTATTATTAAAAGAACAATTTCTGATAAGAATGTAAGAGCAGTTGAATAGAAGTTTTCAATATATGAATACAAAACAAAAACCTAGCTATATTTGGATGTATACATATCTGTAGTGTGCTTTCCTGCTTTGATGATCATTTAAACCAGTACCAAAACAAATTTAAATAAGAACTAGATTTTCAAATATCATTATCATAAGGTGTTAAGACAAAATTTTAAAAATAATGAAGCATATTTGATTACAATGCTCCTACAAAATATTAATAAATAAAAATATACATGTTAAAAACATTATTAGATCTCATAAGATATTATGCATACAATCATATTGTAGAGAATATGAAATGTTTTACTTTTCTCTAATGAAATGCATTTATTTTTATTTTATATTTTTTAGTTTTCACACTTCCATGGTTTCAAATTCAAGTACATTATTATAATGACATGATTATAAATATGTATGAATATATATAATTTATAAATACCAATAAATATATCAGGCTGAATGCTCATTATCTTTCACTAATGGAAGGATGCAATACAAAATTTGAAGACCAGTATCATCTCCATGTAATGCTAAAGTCCTTTGGAAAACAGATGCAGACACAACATGCTTTGTCTTCTTTACCTATATTCTATCTCACCAAGTTTCAGTTTATTCTATGCATCTAAAAAAAACCAACCTGAGAATGCACATAAAGTCTGCTATCAGAAGGTAAAACCACTCCACCATGCATTCTGATAGTCTACCTGGTAACACAAGTTTCTTCACTGGGTTGATACATTACTTTTTTGTTTATCTTACCCATAGCTTTTTTATGATATTGATTCTAGCGCCAACCAAGAAAATTTAAGTGCTTTTATGTTATGTCTAAAAGTATTTTGGTTTGTTTGATTTTGCACATTGTATGTTCTCCAATTGCAAGGCAGTACTCACCTACTTTCTCCAGCAATCCCTCAACATTTACATTTAGCGTGAATCTACACTTTTACTTACACAACTCTTACACAGCTCTTGTTTCTTTAAGGTACATTTTATCTTCACTTGTTTGTGGATTTATAAAATGATCTCTTACAACATATTTTTACAAAGGGCTGGGGATTTAGCTCAGTGGCACAGCGCCTGCCTGGAAAAAGCAAGGTCGTGAGTTTGATTCCCGGTAACTGAAAGAAAAACAAAAAAAAACAAACAACTCCCCCATGAAAAGCAATATTTTTACATTTGTACAGCGCATTGCGTATGTCTCCCCATATAATCATTATGAGGAATCTTAATTGTCAGCTTATTGCATAACTGCGCCCCACTCACTATTTCAGGCAGAGTAAAAGATTAGTAGATATAATTAATGAATTAAATATAATACATGAAAGTATAACTAAATTGGTGCTGTATTAATGTACAAAAGATGAACACTTGTTTTTTTAGATCTATATTCATTAGTTAAGATGATGATTTTAAAGGCCATATAAAATCACCACTACCAATACCATAACAACAAGAGCAATAAATTTATACTTGAATAGTTTTGTTTGACGTAAAAGTGAAAAAGGAAAACATAATCATCTGTTATCCCAAATTCTCCAAATAATCACTAAAAATGTGTTCACTGATATGTTTGATTTATAGCATTCCATTATAATTCAAGCAATCTTATGATATGCTTTTATACTTTTTTATATTTTAGAATTAAATAAATATATTGAAGTAATGCATTTGGACATGAATGATGGATCTAGAGGTTGCAGCTCCTGAGCTGTCTTATTAGTAGCTTATAATCCTTACACTAGATGAGAGAGGTACTTGGAAAACATACATAGCACAAGACTTTCAAGAAATGGAACTGATGTGTGGACAGAATCATCTTGAAAATGAAGATATTCTGGCTCCATGATACTTTTGTTAAAAGTGCTATGCAAAATACATTGCAACACAGCCAAGGATATTTTCAAGAGAAAGGAGAGGGATAGGGTGTGATTAACTGTATACAACTCCATCTTCTTAGGTGCTAAAAAAGGGAGAAAAAGAATCAAAACAGTATAGGAACGTTCATGATAGGATTTAAGTGCAAAAAACTGTTCTGTGTGTGATTAATAATGCACCCTCGGGGTAGGAGGTGTGACTCTGCTATAAATCAGTTCAAATGATGTCTGCCTACTGTGCCCACATTTATTTTTCTTTTGTTGTAATTTCTCCTTCCCAGCAAAGCAAATATTTCCACTTGTTAAACTAAAATAAATATTGATATAATATTGTTATTTATATTTGTGTTATTTGTATTTGTGTCAATGCATTGCTTGTTATTAAAATGTATATACTTGAAGATATTAGAACATATATATCTTTGAATATATTTGAACACACATATGTATATATATATTTGAAGATATTTGGATAAATACTTAGATATCTAGATAGACAGACAGATAGATATAGATGTTGCCTAAACTTTAAGTCAGAACTAAGGCTAAGAAAACTGGTGCAAACCAAATCTTTGACTTTTCTCATGAAACTATATTAGACATATGTAGCCCAAACATCACAGGCCATAAGCCAGAAATATGTCCTTGTGAACCCTGCTACACTACCTGTACAACACTGGGCTGGTTACTTAACCCTGCTCAATTTTAATTTTCTCACCTATGAAACAAGACATACTGCCTAAACTGAAGGATTGTTTATATCAACTCCAAAATTACACTTGAAGTTGTTTTACAAATGACACTTACTATCAGTAGTCTAATCTAAAATTAAATATTTAAATATTGAACAAGAATTTTGAAAGGTTAATAACTTCATCAATTCTCCATTTACTGTCTAAACGTGAGTGAAGTTTCACAAAATGACATATGACTTCTTAGGAGAACTACTATTAACAAAACAGGGTTAAGAGGTCTAGCTCAAAGCTCCGGTTTAGGTCGCTGATCCTTTTATGTACTAAGTATTTTTTAAAGTCTGTTTATGCCAGAACAGAATCTGAGCTCTATTGGCTACTGATCCTCATCGTGTTTCTTACCTTTCATACTCATGGTTCTGTTACTGCACGTTCTTCTTTCCCTTCTATCTGGTATGGTCTTCTATTCCTTAACAAGAAAACATGGCAGCCTGTTGGTCAGCTGTGTTTTGCTGGAAAACAATATCAAGCACCCAAAACTTAATGGAGAGGTTTGTGTGACTCACCATTTCAGAGGCTTCCAGTTCACTGGCTCCAGTGCAGGAACAAAATGGCAGAAGGGCACTGCAGAGCGAAGCTATGCATTCCGTAGTAGCCGGGAAGCAGAACAGAGGAAGGGCACTGGAGAGAAAGGCATCATGGGCCAGATACAGACCCAGGGTCAGGCGCACCTCCATGACACTCCAAGACACAACTGATAGGTGGGACAAATCCACTAGGTGGTTCTTCATCAATCAGTGGACAATCCGGTTTAACTGTCGCTTACTCTTTTGTAATCATTCTGAAACCTCAGCGCTTCCATGATGTTTACTTGGTCATTCCTAGCATGGAGTAAGTACTGAGGTAAAGAAAACCCAGTGAGGTAGGAGATATACATTAAATGTAACATCCTCCATCTATAACATCCTCCATCACTTGAAGGAGATCACGTTAGATTTTTTTTGACTACTGTAGGGGTTCCAATATAATTCCTGAACTCAACCCCACTCGTGTGTTCATGTACATGTATGTATTTTGGGGGTCCTTTAACTATAAGCCACAGATGTCATGATGGATACAACAATTTTTCATTCCCTCATGAAACCATAATCCATAAGAAATATTCTAGAAATACATGGGGAATGAATAGGCGGAAAGGGGAAATCTGCCAAGTTCTAGTCAGTGACCTCATTCAATTTCAGTGACTGTGGAAAGGAGTGAGGAACATAAAACAAGAAAAGTAATCTTTCTGTAATGATAATTCTGTGATCCTGGAAGAGAAATACTTTATCAGCATTAAAGTCACGCACCATGTCAATCAGCTTCAGGGAGAGTCCATGTGAGGTAGATAGATGACAAAAGATTAATCAAGCAACTGCAATGGGGCAAGATTAGCGTTCAGATTTCAAGAAAGCTGAAAGACAGACAGATAAAAATGTAAAGCAATGCACCATGAGAAGCACCAGGGTATTGTTCCTGTTTTCACAAAGTTAGGGCAGCAAAACACATGAAAATCAAAAAGTATTAACTCAATTGGAGAAAAACAGACACATACTGATAAAAACAAGGACCTACCAAAGATGATCTAGCTAGTAAATGCATAAATGCTTTTATTAAATTGCTGGTATTAGTCTGGACAATGCACTGACCTCTTTAAGAAGAATATCCTAAACAATATCATCTGCCTATAGTGTTTATACAAGTCAATGTTTTCCAAGGATATAAAAATTAGCAATGCTAGATAATGCAGATCACTGCATTTCACGCTATCACCAGTGTCTGAAAACAAAATACATGGCATTACAAATTCAACTATTTTTGGAGAACTTAAATTTAGGTGTAATATCATAAAAATATATGTTACTTGATTGTGGAAGCCAAGGTTCTTACTATTGGAGAATGAAATAATAGTTAAATAAGAAGAAAGAAGGGGCTGGGGATTTAGCTCACCGGGAAAGCGCCTGCCTGGCAAGCGCAAGGTCGTGAGTTCGGTTCCCGGTACCGGAGAAAAACCAAACAAAAAAAAAAAAAAAAGAAGAAAGACCAGAATGAATGCTGCAGTACTGAATTTGAGTTGGAGACATCAATACGAATTTATTTTTAACTTAAAATATTTATAGATGGAGGAAGAATTATAGGCATGCAATGTATATATCATATATAAATATATGCATATATGATTTAAAAATATAGTGAATATATATCTTAAAATATTTATTGCAGGAGAAAGCATCATCATGGATCTCCCTCAAAGTACTTCACTCCATTTTGAGCACACTTATCCCATCATTCTGGCCACTTTCTGAAGCAGTTTCGGAAGTCTTCTTTTGTGTCTTTAGTTGCGCTGTCTTGGTTCCTTTACATCCTGAATAATTTCTGTACCTTTACATTGCAAGGTCGTTTTGACTCTTGGGAACAGCCAGAAGTTACCCAGTGCCAGTTCCAGTGGATAAGGTGAACAACGACCCACTCTGATGTTTTTATGAACCTGCCTCTCTAGTGACTGCCATTCACCAAGAGCATTCACCATATTTTTGATCAAAATAAAGACACACCAATGACACTACTTATGTTCAATGCCAACATCTTGGTTTTTAAATATCAGTCTCCAATAAAAGAAAGTAGAGCTCCTTTGAAAAATGAATAGAACAGGATCTTATATGATGATACTGGAGCAATCTATACTGAAAATAAACATGAAAATGTTAAAAAATCAAAAAGATGGGGACCTATTAACAGTTCTCATTGTCCAAATCTAAACGACTTTGAGCAACAGTATATGCTGGAGATCATTCAATGGTTGCACATAGACACACTGCTCTTCCCTTAGTAGTGACATAATTACATGGTACATCATGGTATAGATGCACCGTAGCTTAGCAAGACTGTCTCCTGTCAATGGACATGTAAGTTCTTTTGTGCTTTGCTCTCGCAAATAGTGCTCTAAGCATATTTTTGTGTATGTAAAATTATAAATCTGGTGAGACGTATTTAGGATTAAACTAAAAGTACAGTGTCAGGACCAAGTAGCAAACTGTTTGTTCCCACAGTTATTTCTCATCCATACTCTATCTAAAGCTTCCAAATTTCTCTCCCTGCCTCTAGCCTCACTGCATAGTTTTTAATCAAACTTTGCTAAAGACTTGGAGTACAAGGTGCAAAGTACAAATAATTATTCCACCCCTTTACCTACAGTATTTCATTGGTTTTCTGTCTCCATGACACCATAAGAAAACCTCTGAGAGAAGTGGTTCATGACCTTCTGTTCACTTTCACCACTTGCCCTCTCACAACCTGAAGTGTCCATGTCCAGAAAGACATGTGAACTTTCACGCCTTCCAGGGAAATATTCTCTACCGACAATCTTTATAAATTCATAAAAAACTGAGTTCAAGTTCCATTGCTCTGTAAGTTTTTTCTGAGTTTTCTCCAAGTCAGAATTATACACCGTGTTTTGTTCACATGGCCCTTTGTACCTCCTTTGATAAAACTTTTGGCAATATATATATATATATATATATATATATATATGTCAATATATTATATATATATTTGGATATATATATATATATATATTTTTTTTCTGTTGCAAGAGAAAAGTTGGATAACGTATCCATGGTAATATAGGCAGGTAGCTGGGAGCGTGTACTGTGAAGCAAGAGATTAATTATAACTCTAAAGGCCTGAGATGTTTTAAGTAGACCACACAACTTTTCCAATTGCTGTGGATTTTTCCTGTTTCCTTTTCAGCTCCCAGACCTTCACTGTACCATGACCTTACTGATGTAGGTAGATTTTGATGAAGACAGCACAGTTTCTGAAATCATGTCACCTGACTTCCACTGCTAGTTTCGCTTTACTGTGTACTAACAATATAAACTTGAGCACGAATTTAAACCTCCAGGTGGGTTTCTTACCTCCCTATTGATACCTACAGATTTCCAGAGATCAAGTGATATATGTAAGGCCTGAAACGACCCACCCTATTAGTGAGCATCTATAAACGTTAGATATTTTCTAATAAAGAGCAGAGATTTCCCTTTGTACACTTTTATGTCTATCTCGAGCACCTGCAAAGTATACCTGGTAGGTTCTCAATATTTTATACATATGCAAAGAAAGAGAGAGGGAGATCACCATGATGGAAAATGTACTTGTGTTATCTGTAGTCCTATTAATCTAGGTATTTTCATGACAGCTGGATGCAAAATAAAACTTATCTGGCAGCCGTACTGTTGGTACTATTACAGCACCTAAATGTCCCAATCTTTCAATGTTCAAACAATAAAAGTTAATAATTTCCTCTGCACATTAAGCAGAGCTTCACTAGCTACCCAAGTAAGTGATGAGTTTAATAGTTTAGTGGGTTTTGAAATTCTAATTTAATTTAAATTCAACTTGAATTTTATGTAGTCTGTTTTATTATCTCCTCATAGCAGAAAACAGAATGTTATTATTTGCAGCCTTGGTTTTCACAGATAGCAAAGATAAAAAGCAAAACATTTCAGGTCCCACTTGATGTGCAAGACTAAAACCTCATAAACTAAAATGACAAATGCATGATTTGTGTAACCCAATTACTCACAATGAGGTTGTTTTTGTCATAACAATCTGTGGTGAGATGTAACAGGAAAGTGAATAAATACAAAAGCAAAAGAACTATAAAAGTTCAAAATTTAGAAAAGAAGAAAGCACTGTTAAGATTTAACGGTTGTGAGCACTTACAAACTCTCAGGTAACTGCTAACAACAGCAGGTGTGTGGAAAACGTTGTACTGAACACAGGCTTGCTCAAATCTCTTCCACAGACCCATTCCAAATCTTTTGGGTAAATATCCAAAGGTACAACCACTGGGTCACGTGACCATTTTATATTTAGTTTTTCGGAGGAATCTCCATACAGTTTTCCATAACAGATCTAATTCGTATTCCCACGAACAGTGTCCAAACATTCTCTTTTTTTCCATATCTTTGTCAACTCAAAGTGACCAAGAAAGCAAATTTCGAATATTGTCAACACAAAGCATGATTAAGAATTTGATGTGACAGATATGTTCATTAGCTGAATTTGATTGTTCACTATTGGTTTCTTAAATCTTAGAAACACTGAGCACCCCACATATGTAGCTAGTATTGGTCAATTTACAATTACAAAATGTATTTACAAAATCAAACTCAAAAAAGGAGGCTTAAACAAATTAAGGAAAACATATTTAAAAAGTCTGTCCAAGTGGGGCATTGCAAGAATTTTGCCTTAATCTTTCCATTTCCCTGTTTTACCAAACATGTGCCAAACAAACACTGCAATCGCTGTTTTTAAACACTTAATGGGAGACACTGCCCTAGGTTCCCTACCTTTAAGGACCCTGAGCTCATTGGCGTAGAGAACTGTGCTTACTGCGGGGATAAGAGAAGTCAGCCTGCACAGAGGAAGTCAGAAATCAGCTGCTGAAGCCACCAGAACCACCTCCCCTGGGTGGGGCACAGCCTCCACCTAAGACAGTCTTCCAGGGGCCTCGAGATAAGTGGCACCACAACCCTACAACTTTTTAGGGTAATTCAGTTTTATTTTCTTCATGGTCGAAACAACTAGAGAGACCAGCAGTAGTGTGCCAGTCTTCCCGAGGGTGATAGGGAGCAGGAGTATCCAGAACCCCCGCCGAGCCAGCTGCGCCTGGAAAGCCCTGCGTTTTTCCACCAGACACGGGTGCCCACGGCCCCCAGCAGCCGCCCGCGGCCCCCTTCCCCCGCGCACCGGGTCCCTCGCGTTCCTGCGGGGGCCGCACGCGGTGGAGAAGGCTGTCCCGAATGAGCCCAGGAAGGAAGCGGTGGGGTCCTAACTCACTTCTCCTACTCGAGCTCCGCGGGGCTCCTAATCCCTCGTTCTCACGCCCTGCAGGAGCCTAGGAGAGGTGCGGCTCAGTTTTCGGGTCTCAGTATTCGCCCTCCTTTCCTTCACCTCCGACCCCTGCTTCAATTAACCCGTCCCTCCGGCCCCGCCTGGGGTCTGTAAACTTCGCGGACTGCTCCCCAGCCCTCCCTGGAGGAAGGCTCGGCCGCCGGGCTCACCGCGCCCCCTGTCCCTCGCCCTCCCGCGCCCTTCACCTCCGCTCTGCGATCGGGCTCTCCAGACTCGCGGCCGCCCGTGTGAGACATCGCGCTGCGGGGGACCGGAGCGGGCCGGGCGGCGGGGAGGCGG